TCATGTCCCTACCTCTAAGCAAACCAGAAACCAAAGAAATCTAGAATTTCTTTCTTCTTTTGTTATAAAATGAAAATAAATATCCCCTCCTGAAAGCATCTGGATAGGATCTTTACTTTCTGACCAAACCCATGCCTTGTCACACAAGGCCTCACCTCCGATCTGTTGTGTGTCCTATACACATCTGCCCTCAAGAAGGCAGCAAGCTCTACCAAGGCCATGGCCCAAAGCAAGACCAAAGGCCCTTTTTGTGCGCAGTTACAAAGGAGAAGAGCCAGAATGACTTGGCGTTGGGGTCCTATACACAAAAGGAAGCATAAAAACAGTCTGAGGATGAGATTTGCTATTTAGAGACACAACCATCCCAGCAGACTGTTCTTAGTTCCTTGGGGCAGGAGAAACCAACCTAGGAAAGCAATTAAAGATGACAGCAGCTAGATATGGGGAATTATATTCACCAACCTCTAATTCATTAATCTGACAAAATGCTAGGAAGGTATATCCACTCCTGCATTGCTCTTATAAAGCCACATCCAGAATAGAGAAGGAAAGGAACCTGAGAATACACACATATACACATATGAAATTCTACACAAGGGAGGCAGATTTTACTAGGTAGAAGATGGTGGAATGTGATGGACATCGTTATCCAAAGTACATGTATGAAGACTCAAATTGGGTGTCAACATACTTTATATATAAACAGATATGAAAAATTATGGTGTATATATGTAATAAGAATTGTAATGCAAAAAAGTACATGCTTAAAGGCATGAATTGGCGTGAACATACTCTATATACAGATATTAAAAATTATGCTCTATATGTATAATAAGAACTATATTGCATTACGCTGTCTTGTATTTAAAAAAAAATAAATCAATAAAACTAAAAAAAAAGTATGTTCACATAAAAAAAGACACATACCTGGTAACTTCTTGTATAGGAGTCAAAATGTTATTAGAATTCCTATTTAAATGTATCCATTATCACAGGTTACAAAGAATTTACACAAGACCAGTTATTTCCATTTTACAAGGAGGAAAGCTGAGCTTTGAAGATGCATAAGATGCTACAGAAGCTGTGTATCTAATGCAGAACTTATGCAAGAAACTGGGTTTCTCAGATTCTACATCTTGTTTTAATATGATCAACAACAGATAGGGCCATCTCAGGCAGAACCTCACTAAAACACTTTTGATTACCATCCTGGGGCTAGAATGTTTACACAGAAATGAGAATTCCAGGTAGGGAATGGAGATGTTCCAGTATATCAATCATCAATGTGGCCCAATAGAATACAAAGTATCCATTTGGTATAGGGTTAGGAGAAGACTTTCTCTTGTTACTATGCTTTCCCATTATATTCTACATAACCAAAGATGCTACTAAATCTCAGCTCAGGATGAATCTGGACAAATCAGACAACTATCCTACAATGTGAAGGTACAGCACTCTGGGAAATCACCCATTCACCTACCAACTGTATGAGCACTGATTGAACAGTTTAATGTGACCCATATCTATGTCTTACCAAGACATGTCAGAATTTGAATAGATTCTACAGTGCTTCAGAGATGAAGTAGAAAATAAAGCCTTTGATCATTTACAAAATGAATGATAGAATCATGACTCAATCTCAGGTCTGCCATTTCCTAATCTAGGTAGCTCTGTTTTCACAAGACTATTCTACCCTCAACCAAAAACAATGTAAAAGAATGAAGATAATAATTCTATTTTTAGAGATTTAATGGAAAAGTGCTTTTATAACCTTCAACATACAATCCCTTGGGTATTATACAATATTACCTTAAATGTAAACCTAAAGATAAATACTTGTTCATGAGCTTTGGAAGGTCTACCTTGGAATCAATACTCATGTCATTATGTCATTAATGCAACAGCCAATACCATTTCTTTTATGGTGACACCATAACAGCTGGCCTCTCAGGTTCCATGGTACTCTTCCTTAGCAATCTGAAGGCTGTTTGATTGCTTAAATCAAGCAAAAAGTTTCATGATGATAAAATAAATGCTATGAATATAATCTGAGGCAACATGGAATAATATTTTAGTTTATCAATAACACTGATATAGACCTCTGAATTATGATTTAGGTTATATCATTAATACTCCAGGTCTATAAACAGTATTCATTATAGACTTGGAATTGTGCTCTTGATATAGCAACTAGCCACATATGGTTACTGAGCACCTGAAATGCTGCTAGTGTGAATTGAGATGTGTTATACGTATAAAATACATACCATATTCCAAAAATTTAGTAATTTATCATTAATGAATTTATAGTGGAAATATATCATATAATATTTTGAATATAATGGATTAAGCTAAATATATATGAAAATCAACTTCACTTTTAGCATTTTTAATTTTTTAATGTGATTACCAGAAAAATTTAAAATATGCTTGTAGCTTGCATTTGTGGCTCTCATTACATATAATATTCTCTTATAGAAATATAATGATCAATGCCTCTTAATTCTTTATGCACAGTAAAAGACATCTGGAAGCTTTTTAAAGTCTAATTTCTTGGTTTCAACTTTGAAGATTCTTATAGGACTAGCTTGGATTCTGGCTTTTAGTGGTTTCTTTCTTTGCTTGTTTATTTGTAGGTTTATTTATTTATTTATTTATTTATTGCTATTTTGTTTTTAGACAGAGTTGAGAACCACTGGATTAGATGCTATATTGTGTACCAAGTGGCTGCTAGGAAAGTATGTCTGGAGGAACAATCCCATGGCCTTGGACTTAGGACTATCAATAATTGTTCACTGATATGCAGAAGCCTGACTGTCCTCTGCCTTCCAGAGCCATCCTGGTGTGCTCAGTCATCCCCCTCATCCCTTGATTTACAATTTATTATAAAAGTGATGTTTCCCTGAAAGTAAAATGCATTTGGGTTTGGGTGTGTTTTAATCCTTCTTTTAAACAGAGAGGACTGTCAGCACAAGAGACACAAACTGTCCTGAAGGCTAGGTTACTGATATGATCTTTCTGACTATCCCCAGAATTGATTAATTAACTAGCAAAGGTAAGCTGGGACACAGACGGCATTTTGAGATGCTGAAGGAAAATGCCACATAAGCAGAGAAGAAAGGATTGGATATTTTATTAGGAGACTTCATGGCAGAAGGGATGCAACTTCATTTTGTCTGCTTCCCTGTTTCTGGGCAGTGCCTTCACCTAAATCATCACAGTTTACATTCCTCCAAGGAAGGAGGCCTCTCTCAATCCCTAGAGCCAACCTTGAAACATGGCACTTCTTAGACCTACTAAGATGATATCATGATGATGATGATAAGTTATCATATGCCAAGTATCTAACATGTCAACACTGTGCTAGATATCTCACTTGCATATTTAACCTCATTAAATCCTAATAAGAAAAGTGTGCTATCCTTATTTTTTCAAATGAGGAAATCAAAATTTAGGAAAGTTAAAAATTTTGTCAACAGTCATAGAGTTAGGAAGTATTAAAGGTGTATCTCAGTTTATCTGATCCAAAGGCCCTGCTCCTTCCTTCATATCACACTGTTATAATGTCAAACTTTAGACCAATCAGTCTCTAAGAACTAAAGCCCCTCTAACCTTTCATTTGGGGTCTGGAAGACTTATCCATATCTTATAGGAGAAAACAACAAAAAAATGATAGGCTGTAGTATGGATGGTCATAATATACCTTCATATCCCTTTGCTATTTGTCTTTCCATGAAACAATTTTCATGTTCTATCTCATTCACTATGACATCCTCTGGCACTAAAGAATTGTTAACACCATTTTGTAGATGAGGAAAAACAAATTCCAGCTCATGAGCTCAAGGAAGGCCAGGAACTGGGGTACATGGTCAGTTCTCCCCTCATAGTATTCTGCAAATTTGTGACCCAGAGGAAGCGGAAACTGATGGAAGCTTCATCCCAACAGTGACTGTTCGTGGCCAGGTTCTTCATGGCACAATGTCAGAGGCCAAGGCCTTGTAAGCATTTGTAGGATGCCTGCTTCCATGCCCAGCACATCTTAGATCCTAGATATTTGACTTCCTTGTAAAAAGTAAGATCTGCAATCCATAAATTCTAGATCCTGGGAGAGGAGATTACATATTTTTACACAAACCACTGAAGATATCCTCTGATAATATGCAGAGGTGTTCATACTTCCCTGGATGAGAGAAACAAGGCAAGGGAAGCATAGAGAAAGTAGAGGAAGGGAACAGATGCGAAGAGAAATAGAAGAAAAGCAAATAGGAGAGGAAAGGAGCCAGGCTCGATGGTGCATGCCCAGAATCCCAGCAGTCCAGGAGGCTGAGACAGGAGGATCACGAGTTCAAAGCCAGCCTCAGCTAAGGCAAGGCACTAAACAACTCAGTGAGACTCTGTCTCTAAAAAAAATACAAAATAGGGTTGGAGATGTGGCTCAGTGGTTGAGTGCTACTGAGTTAAATCCATGGTACCCCCCCCCAAAAAAAAAAATAGGGCTAGGGATGTGGCTCAGTGACTGAGTGCCCCTGAGTTCAATCCCTGGTCCCAGAAATAAATAAATAAAGAGAGACAGAGATAGAGACAGAGAGAGAGAAAAGGAGGAGATGGGAAGGGACTATAAAAAAGAAAGGACACAGAGAAGAAAGCAGAAAAAGAATAGAGATAAGAAAGGTGAAAGTTCACAGAAATTTAGGGTTAAAAGGGTCTTCAAAATCATCCAGGCCAACCCCAGATGTGGGAAGTGATTTGTAAACATGTGTGGGGAGGGGAGTAGGGGTTGTTCATATAAACAAGAGACAAAGAAAATATCTAAAAATTAGAAAAACAAAGATTAAAGAAGATTAACCCAGGTCCAAGATAGGGACAAAAAAAAGAAAAAGAAAAAAAGAAAAGAGAATATGAAAAAAGTCACCAAGGGGAGCAGAACAGGGGCTAGTGAAGGAGAAGCCAGGGATAGGTAGCCAAGGAGAAAGGAGAGGAGAGTGAAGGCTGACACTCACCCTCACAAAGCTGGCAGGAAACCATCCCTCCTCATCGTCGATCTGGCCCCACCACCAATCCTTGTTGGAAGCATCCAAGACTTTGATGACGTCGCCAGCCTTAAATGCCAACTCCCGGTTGGCCATGGTGACGTGATCCCATACTGCCTCAGCACTAACGATGGAATCTCCAGTGATCAGCTTAGGAGACAAAATGAGAATGTGTTCAGTCCATGCAGCTGCCTACCTTGATTGGCCCTCCCCCCACCCACAAAGCTCTACTACTTATGGGAAAACTTACATACTTAGCGATGAGGGATAGGGTAAGGGGAACAGCACTAGAGTGTAAGCTTTGCGGGGCCACAAGACAGACAATGCTGTCAACTCTTGATTATCCAGTACATGGAATGATCCAGTGTGTAAATGTGAACTATATGGGTATCATGCTTTTATCTCTACTCATGAATACTTCCCCCAGAAAAGAAAGCAAGCTCCAGTTCAACTATCCTTTGTGTTTCCAGCATCCCTGGGTCTGGAATGGGTAAAGAGGCTGATATTAATAGCTAAAATGAGAATTAAGCATATTTGCTTTCAATTCTCTGTGTTCCTTCTCTTTTCCGCCTCCTCCTTGGAACTGACCAATTGACAGTTGGTAGTATATTATTAATCCTCACTGTGCCCCTCCCCCTGGGGTAACAGACTATGACATTCCTCACACACAATGGACCCCAGTCCTACAGCCTCCTGCCCTCACCCACACAAGATACCATCCAGAGAGGTCATGGGTATGAAAGAATATGGCTTTCTGTGATGTCTTGTACCCAAGAAATTAAATGTTGGCTCAGATTCAGTCAGTGATTATTACAACCACCCTGTGAGATACAGTGGGGATCTGGGTTAACTTCTGCATTTAATAGATTGCAAAACTGAGCAACAAAGAAGTTTAGGGTTGAGGTAAATATCATCCAGCAAGGTAAAGGCTGTGCATGGATTCTAACCTAGGTCATCAGGCTTCATGGACAGCAGAAAACACAACAGCAGGAAAACATTGATCCTACTGCCACATGAAAATACACATAGATGCACATTCATGACAGTTAACTAAATACAATGATAAGGATGGAGGTGGGTAATAGTTTTCTTCCCCCTGGCTACCATTGTGACCACTGCTATTTTGTTCTCTTTTTAACTCCAACTGTTTCAGCTTGTATGGGCCTTCAGTCTTCCCAGCATTTGGGGAATGACATCCTAGAATAGAGAACATATGGCCTGTCAGGCAGAGACTGGAGCACTCTCCCCAGCATTGAATCACTGAACATGTCCTTTAGCTTTTCCATCAGCATTTTTTTGAGGAAGGACTACCATGACAGCTCCATAACACTAAAAATAAAAGAGTTCAAAGACAATAGAGACTATCTGTGGACTATGTATCCCCTCCCACAGGTCTGATATACAATATACTACCCAAAATATAATCGTATAGCTATATAATGTATGTATAACACATCACATACACACACACACACACACAGAACCTACCTTTTGACTTAAAGTTTACTGTTCATCAAGCCCTGCCTTAAGGCATATTTCATTGCTCAGGATTCTAGACTTCATGCTCTCCACAGACAGTAAAGCACAGGGAAACCTCCTCAGAATAGATGCAAAAGAAATTTCCAGCAGGACTTTTTTTAAAATCATATTTCAATTACCTTGTGCTTTACTGCTTTAAAATATTTTCACATCTACTACATCATTTGATCCGTACTAAGCTGGGTTTCACTATCACTTACATTGTAAAGATGAAGAACCTGAGGCTCAGAGAAGAGACTTGGTCCTTTAGAAAATAACATAAGAAATAAATTATAGAATCAGGTTTTCTGACCTCATGTGTCCTTACATATACCAAACTATACTCCCAGTGTCTACTCATTGGCTATACTGATTGTATAAAACTTGAAGCATCACACCATGACTCCTTTGCTTAAAGAACCTTGAAGAAGGATTTTTAGATGGCCACCTTTAGTCACTGTTGTCCCTGTGTGTGAATAGATTCATTTTTATGTTGAACTTGCTTTCTGCCAATTGCACTAAAAAAATCAATCTCTCCTTGTTCTCCACTCAGTGGAAAAAGAGAAATTCTAGTTGTTGGCCTTAATAAAATAAATCTTAATGGAAAACTTTCCTTCCTCCTACCTAAAATAGATCCTTAACTGGAAGTTGCTGAAGCTCAACAAGCACATATGGCCCTAACTTAGAAGAGCATTTGGGTTCATGGTTTAAAGCTATATCCAGGGATTTTGGTCAAGTGTCAAAAGAATATCTTGGCATTAAATATGAACTTTCTGCTCCAGACACTATTTGTGATGCTGTTTTAGATACCCTAGGTCCAGTTATAGCTAATTTCACTGCATATACTCTTTACTTTGCAATCTTCTATTTAGAGACTCTATAATAGCTTCTACCAGCAGTATATGAATCACACTGCCCCACCTCCTGCCAATTTAGTCCAGTTGACATGCCTTGGCCCTCGGATCATAAGACTCAGATACACCCTGGACATGACCAATCCAGGATCCAGTGGTCAGGCTCAAGGAAGTCCTTTGAGGAAACACTATTAAAGGTTTAACATTCCTAATACACAAAAGTTAAAATCAGAAATACTATAAAATCCAAAACTTAAATTTTATATTTTGTATTTTTGGATTAGGGATACTCAACAAAGTTGTCTATGCAAATACTCCAAAATCTGAAAAACTCTGAAATCCGAAATACTTCTGGTCTCTAGCATTTTAGATAAGCAATACACAATCTATATTTTCCCTATCTTATAAATGAGAAAACTGAAGGTCTCAGAGAGCTTAACTAATTTGCCCAAGTTCACACAACTCATTAATAGCAAAGAAAACAAATGCAGGCATAGTCTGACTCTACAGACACTGCTTTTAACTTATAAACTATGCAGTGTCTGGGTCTCATATTTTATACCTATAAAATGAGCTATAAATGCCTGGAAAGTTGTAAAACACTAAACTAAGAACTGGCAGGTGGGTTTCCAGAGTTGTGAGATGGACTAATCCACAAGAAGCTAGAAGCTGCATGGGTGTTATGGTTTGGTTGTGAGTTATCCCCTCAAAAGCTCATGGGTTATATGATATAGCAATATTCAAAGGTGAAACTATTAGTTTATGAGAGCTGATAACCTTATCAGTGGATTAACCCATTTGATGGATTAATAATTTGAAAAGACTACTGTACTAGATGGTAACAGTAGGCAGATGGGACATGGCTGGAGGAAGTGGGTCACTGGGGACATGCCCTTGGGGATTATATCTTGTCTCTTTGGCTCAAAGCTCCCTTTTTATGCTTCCCAGCTGCCATGAGCTAAGCAACATTCCTCTGCTATGCCCTTCTGCCTTGGTATTCTGCTTCAACTCAGGCCCAGAGCTATGGAGTTGACCAACAATGGACTGAACCTCTGAAACTATGAGCCAAAACAAACTTCCTCCTCTAACTTGTTGTCAGGTAATTTGGTTACATAAACATAAAGGTACCCATCACAATGTGGCTCCTGTGCTCTTCCATCAGAAATACCACCAGCAGCCAGGGGATGCTCCTCTCCAATCCTGTGCACTATTTTTGTTTTGTTTTTGGTACTGGGAATTGAACTCAGGAGCACTCGACCACTGAGCCACATCCCCAGGCCTATTTTGTATTTTATTTAGAGACAGGGTCTCACTGAGTTGCTTAGTGCCTCACTTTTGCTGAGGCTGGCTTCGAATCCACAATCCTCCTGCCTCAGCCTCCAGAGTCTCTGGGATTATAGGCATGTGCCACCGCACCTGGCTGCACTATTTTTAAAAAGTAAATTAAATCTGGACTGGAAATTGGTTCCAAATGTTCCTCTTATGTACCAAACTGAAATTTAACTTACTACAAGATTTTTATACATTTTCACTTGGCTCATTCATTTCCCATTGCACATTTATCCAGTGAGCTCCTACTGTGTGCTGCTAGGCACCATTTAAATTATCTGCAAAGATGGTTAAGGGTAAGCAAACCCAACTTCAATTCTGGGCTTTTCTGCTTTTAAACGTAGCAGTAACAATAGGAGGTGAGGAATAAAAGAGTAAAAGGGACAATCCAAAATGAAGCTGTCAGTATGTAACAAGGAGTGCAATTATACAAAAATGAATGAGAATTTCAAACATTTCAACCTTGCACCTCAGTTTCTTCATCTCAAAAATTGGAACGATGTTTTCCTCACAGGCAGGGATATAGATAAAGTGGGCTGAGATGCTGGGTATACAGCACCTACTACAGTATCTGGCATGTGCTGGGCTAGTACATGACTTCAGAGGAAAGAGGGAACACACATAACAATTGGGCTCTAAGAAAGATGTTTTTAAAAAATTAGGTATAGATGGATCTTTATTTTATTTATTTATATGTGGTGCTAATAATTTAACCTAGTCTCTCACACATGCTAGGCAAGTGCTGTACCACTGAGCTACAACCCCACCACTCTAAGGAAGCCCTCTAAGATAACACTTAAAGATCAAATGGGACTGTGAAAGATATAAAGGGAATGGTAGTGTGTTTGAGGTAGAAGAATGGCATTATATGAGTTTCAGAGATGAAGAATATGGGGTACTTGATAGTGTAGTAGCAGTAGAGTTTAGAGAAGGTAGGGTTGAGAAGGGAAATTAGAGAGAGGCACAGCTTCAAAAGTTGGCTACATTCATGTGTGAAGGGCACTGAATCAAGTTTGAAGACAAGGAGGAGGTTAAAGACAGAGGAGGTTATGAGGAAGGGGAATCAATCCTAATTGTGGCCATTAATAGCATAAGGGTATATTAGAAGAAAATGATGATTTTGAAGAAGAGATGGCAAATTTGTTCTTTAAAGTGTTAAGTAAAAGAGGTCAGAAGGACATGAAGGTAGGTTTGAAGCTCAAGAGAGATCAGTGGAGACAGATATAAAGTTTTGGGAATCAGTGGCCCAGAAGAAACCAAGGAATTTTGCCCTAGAAGAAAGGCCAGGAACCCAGAGAAATAGTGAAAATGGGAGGTGAGAAACAGAAAAACTGGAGGGAAAATATAAAACCTAAATGGAGCTGTCAGCATATCATTAGGATACCAAGGATTGCAATCTCACAAAAACCAAAGGTAGGAGTTTCAAGCAGCAGAGGCTTATTAACATTA